TATAAATTGTTCTAGTTCTGATGGACTGATCCAAAGGGGACTCCAAATTATCTCATTTATTTTCATTGGAAACGAAAGGAGAAAACCTTCACTTGCTGTTGCTACTCCCCCAAGCTATGGTTCTGTCACTCTGTTCCCTGAGTTGCTAAACCCCTAGGAAGAATAGTTTACACCCACTACCTCTACTTCCTATAATACAGCTTCCAACTCCATCACACTATTGAAACTGTTCTCCCAGAGGTTACCAACTAACTTGCCAGCTGCATTGCTAAATCTGAGGGTCTTTTCTCATTCATCATCCTCCTGAACTTCCTGTAGTTTTTGTTCCAGCTGGCCACCCCATCTCTATCCTAGTCTCTCCTCCTTTGGCTTCCATGTCATAGTCCTATGAAGGTTTTCTTCCTACCTCTGTAACAATTCATTTCTAGTCGCTAGTTAGCTGAACTGGAGCTGCCATTGTCTCAGTGGCCTCTCATCTATTTATCCTGGCAGTTTGGTATTCACTTTGATTGGTTGTAACCATTCAGTGCTATGACTATACAGCTGATTCTGAATCCAATAGGTAATTTCATTTCCAATGATGTTGCATGGTGCTCATCACTTCCAGTGTATGTACCACAACAAAGTGCCCTTCATGTAATATACAAGGGCTTCATAAATATCTGTTGGATGAATTATGGTTTGAATACACTCTCCCAGCTGTAACAAGATTTGAACTCCAGTCTGATTCAAAGACCAATACTCTTCACTACACCACCTAGCTATCCAGAAGGATGGTGATTCACCATTTATATTCTGCCAGTGAACACCCATCTGAAGGGATCTTTTGGGAACTATCAGCAGTCTTTTCTGTCTCTCTCAAAAGAGCATGGAGGCTCCAGCATTAGTAATTATCCCAACCCACTGTGTAGTGTGGGAGTTCAGAATCATGAAAGGACCACCTTCCTTCTGGCACTGGAATTCATTTAGCCATGCCATTTGTTTTGTTTGCAAAACAAGTACTTTAGCCCTGATCTTTTTACTTTTTTTGTTTGTTTGTTTAAATATATGTTCTGAATGACCTCCACAGCCTGGAGCTTCCAGGACCTTGAGAGAAAGCATATCCCCTAGGTTAGCCATAAACAGACCCATTGTGCACTTTGGGGCGCCATCAGGTGGCTGCATTGTGAACTGAAGCCTCCACATAAGAGCTCAGGCTTTGCTGAGCGTCCCCTTGAGAGACTGGAGGAGCAGCCCCCAAATGGAAATGACCCCCAGGGTGCTTGAGGCCTTCTCTCTTTGAGCACTCCAGACAAGACTGGGAGATAGGCTCTTCAGGTTGGGGAAGGTAACATGTCCTTGCTGTAGCAGCCACGTCCCTATTATGGTCAGTTCCCAAATCTAGATTCTTCTACTTTGGGTAGAGGGCCAGGGGAAAGGATGATGCAAGTTTGGTTTCACGGAGTCTAGATGGGAACACTGGGAGGGAGGTCCTTTGACCAGGATCTGGTTTGTCCTTTTTCATTTGGAGGAGAATGAGAATGTAGTCTGGAAAAGCAGATCTCATCAGAAAGGGAATTCGGCCCAGTTATCTCCAAGGTTCTTTCCAGTCCTAAAATTCTATGATTCCATGGATTTTAATGACAGGCAAGATTATGGATAGTAATAGAACTAAAGCTAACTTGATCAAGAGTTTCCCTGGAAGTCAGATGATTTCTTTCTTTTTTTCTTTCCTTTTTTTTTTTTAAACTTTCATTGCTTTTTTTGTTTACCCGTCATCTCCTTTCCTGTATTCATCAAGACTTCCTTACAACAAAGATTAACAAACAAAACCAAAAAAACCCAAGACATTTTCTGTGCCTACTGACAGCATGTGCACTCATCATCCGTCACTTTCTTTCCAACCCCTTCCTCCCACCTCACCCTCCCAAAAACCCCACGTATACACAAAAGTACAAAGGTGCATTTTCTCATCTCTTCTCCAAGGCTAAGCTTGGTCATTATAATTCTGTAATGTTCAGAGTTTTTGTTGTTCCTTCCATTCAAATTGTCAGAGTCATATAGATTGTTCTGTCATGGTTTGGCTTACATCAGCCTGCATCAGTTCATGTCAGTCTAGCTGTTTTTCACTGAATGCTGGCTCCATTCATCATTTCTTATGATACAATACTAATCCATTACATTCACATAGGGTAGTTTCCTTTCTATCCAGGTGTCCCAGCTTGAGGACTGAAAACTCATTTCAAGATTCCCTTTACTGGATTTCATTTTAAATGCAGACTTACAGATCAGTGACCATTTACCTAGGGGGAGTAGTACTTTTTCCCAAGTAAGTAGAAAAGAGTGCTGGTTTGATTCATTGGATTGCCATCCTCAGTAGACACTTATTAAGAGCTGCTGGGCTACAGGGCTCTTTACTAACCACTGAAAAACAAAGCAGGACAAAAAGTGCCCAATTTCCGGGGCTCTAACAGTGTAGTGGGGGAAGCAACCAAAAAACACTAGACTGAAACAAGTTGTTTAATGAGCTTGAGGCTGGTTTTCCCTCCTTGACTAACAAAATCACTCAAAGGTATTTTTTTGTACCTGTAACGATTTCTCTCTACCTCATTTGTAGAGTGAGGATAAATGTGGAATGGGTTTTCTAAGCTATTCCTGGAAGATATTGTGATGAATCATTAACATCAAATGTCCTGTTACTGTTTATTTCATGACTTACCCACATACTGTATAAAATTGCGTGCCATGACATTTGCCATCACAGTCCAAGAGTTTAAGAATTTATCTTAATAAGCTCACCAATATTTGGGCTAAAAACACACTGGGAGTTGTAGAAGTAAAAAAAGACTTGCTGGGTGATCAAGCATTTCATTTGGTACTTTGGCCATGAGAGATGGTCCAGGTTTGTCTGTTGTCTTGCCTATAACTGTACATATGATTTAGGAATAAATTAGGGATTAGAACTTTAATTTTGTTGCTATGTGGAGCTTGTGGTGAGGAGTAGCTTCTACCGGTGGAGATGGATATTGTCTCTGAAATTTATAGACCTAGAGAGTTGCTTAGAGGCTTGAGAAGTTAAACACTTGCCCAGGGCCACACGGGTATTAAAGGTCGGAGTTCAGCCTGGGTCTCCCTGTCTCCATGACCAGTTCCACTACACTGTACTGCCTCTTGTGATTCAATTGTTAGCAATTTCTCAATTTGACACGTGTGTGTGTGTGCGCGCGTACACACACACACACACATACGCACACACACACACACACACACACGAAAGATTATTTATCTTTTTGTGCTTGGATTGAATGGTGTCTTAGGTGCTTTCCAGCCCTAAATCTGATTAGATGCATAAATACATATATACATACACAATATAATCAGTGATTATCAAAAGCAGAGTGGGCTTCAAGGAAGAGAAATGACTTTCATTGGACCTTGAAGAGAGGTGGGACGTGCAAAGACAAAAGAAAAAGACTTCCAGATTGTTTGGGGAAAGGGAAGGAAGAGGGAAAAGGAATCTTTGAGCAAAGCCATGAAAGCAGGAATATGCCTCATGTGATTAGGAAATAATGAGTAGACCATTTTGGTTGAAGCAGAGTGTGTGTAGGGAGTAGGGAATAAAGTTGAAGAAAGAAATGGGCCTGATTAAACAGAGAGGGCCTTGAATGCTGATTTCATTTAACTGCACCTCCTGTGGAGAAGAACACGCCAGTATGTAAAATATCTCACGTGTGGATATTTTTAAATTATGTAGCTGATCCTTTTTTTCTTTTTACATTACTGTCACTTAAGTGACTCATCCCATCACCCATCCTTTCCCTCTAGAAATCTTCCTAGTAATAAATATGTACAGTATTGTCCACGTCTGAAATTTATGCTTCATTCCACCTGCATGGTCCATTACATCTCATGCTTCACCATCAGTTCTCTGAAGTCATGACTGAAGACTGCATTGATTAAAGATCTGACGTCTTTCATTATTTTTTCCCTTTTCATTATTGTGGTCATCATGCCAATAATTATTCTGGGTCTGCTTGCTTTGTTCTGTCAGTTCCCACAAGTCTTCCCAAGTTTCTCCAAATTGCTCATGTTATAATATTCCATTTCATTCATAAGCCACATTTTGTTTAGCTATTCTGTAATAAATGGGCACCCACTTTCCTTTCAGTTATTTGTTATCACAAAAAAAGTGCGACAATAAATATTCTTGTAATGTGTAATATGGAAATTTCTCTTCTCCAGTCTCCATGGGTATGTGCCTAGTTAGCATCACAGGGTCAAGTTCAGTTTACTGACTTTTTTGTGTATGTATAATGTGGATATAGTTTTATACTTATTTGTAAGATAGGTTTAATAATACTTTTCTCCTTCCTAGAAGGGTGATAAAGCTGCTTGACCATGGCAGGCCAGTTGACTCTCTCCGCTCCTTAGTTTCCTCATTTGTACAATGAGGGTTAGGATTAGAGGATCTCTGTGGTCCAACCTTAAAATTCTGAAATTTTTTGAAATTGAAATTAACTATTCTAGAAAAAAATTGAAAGAGGAATTGCTTTGATTCCAAGTTAGCTACCGATATTTCTTGTTTCAGAGTGAGCGGCTAATTCAAAGTTGGTGTTAATAGTAGTACCGAAAAACCTACTGAGTAGCCTTCTGTGATCTGTGTCAATGGAAGTTTCATAAGGACCTCCAGTGTGAAGTTTCCAAATACAACCTTACCCCTTCTCCTTCAAGTCAGTAGCTGCAAGTGCAGTTTCTAACAGCTCACACTGTGAATCAGGTTAAGCTTTTTGAACTCATATCAGCTCTTTAAAATCAGCAAAGTATCTTTTGGTAAATGTACCCAGTCCAGTAAATCCTAGTGACCTTAAATTAGTGCCCCTTACAAAACTGTCAGATTGTCAGGGAGTAGCTTAGAGTGTCTGATTCAATAGCAACAAAATATTATTGCCTGTTCGCTAATTAATTGACTTGTATTCTTGCTGGATGTATTATTAATGATTGTAATTTCTTTTGCATTGCAGCGTTTTAATTTTGGGAGCTTCAGGTGGAATTGGTACCTTTGCTACGCAGGTAAGTATTATATTTACCTTGTAATTTATTTAAATATGTAAATCTGCATTTTATAGACATCCTATAGAGCCCAGAGAAGAAGGGGAGTATAACACATTACCCGTTCTTCCCAGTGTGATTCTTCAAGGAGAAAAACTTACTTATGTAGAATGTCTTAACATTTCCAGGTGCTTTTCTTCATTCAAATAATAAAAAGGGGAAAAAATAGGAAGGGAAAGAACCTGGAAAGAAGGGGAAGATATGAAATTTGGCTATTGGTAGAAAAACTCCCAGTATTGAAATTGTTTGTTTAAACCTTTTGGCCAGTTGTTCTTTGTTAAGGTATACACAATGAAGGTGCTAGGTAGCTCAAAGTGGGAGAAAAACTATTAAGTTCTTAAGGGAAAAAAGGGCCAAGAATTTATTGAATTGTTTCACCACGTGGTATAAATTATTCCTAATGATTTAATGTTCATGCTCCCTCTAGTGCGCTTGCACACTCTTTTCTTTCCTTCCTCTCTTTAGATAGCTCTCTATGTATGTGTATATACACACATACACACAAAATTAATGTAAGTAGGTGCTTAGAAAGCAATTTCCTTTTTTCTTGATGGTTTCAGGTTTATTTTAATATTAGGGAAGTGATGGTCACTAATGAGCTATTCATCCTGGAACACATTCCTAACACATTTGCATCTAACTGGGGACTTGCTTTTGAAAGCAATTTACCATTATACTCAAGCAGCTTTTGACTTCAGCCCTTGAACAAAATACATTTTAGACAATTTCATCCTTGAATTTTTTTTTTCAGATTGCCAGGATATAAACACAGTGGCCTTTATAGCTTGGAGAAAGTAGGCGTGGGGCAAGGTTGAGGGAGATGGGAGAAGTTGTCATAGGCTTTCAAAACCCTTTTTTGTGGCTGTATGAGCTATGAGAGTAAGAGGTTTCTGGTGAAGTTCGTGAACAGGCAAGGTCAACATCTGACCTGCCGTGACCTTTAGTTATCGTGAGACTGACTGTGTCCTGCCTTAGTTATAGGAGATGATCTTCAGGTAGCCCTAATTACATAGCTTTAGGAAAGCTGAAAAGTATTGTAAAGTCACTGTAATTCACTGGAGAAAAAATGCAGCAGTTTTCTGGAATACTATTGCCATTTAACTTTGACAGAATTAGAATTTGGCTCTTATATCTGTTTAATTCTAATTCTAGACTGTAGCCTACTCTCGGAGCCAGGGGATTGTTGACCCTTTTTGTCTGTCTGATAAATTTTAATATTACTCTGTTGCTGTTAATCATAATTAAGGGAAATGCTAAATTTTACTTTGAGATTAATGAAAGTAAAGATGTAATTTTTCCCCACTTCACAGATTCCCTACAACCTATCCACAAACTGTCACTGCTCTATGTATGTGGGAGGTGGTACGCTTAGTTAGCTGGTATACCTTACAGGGGCAGTGTCATACAGTGAAAGTGTGTTGGATTTGGAGTAGGAGGGCTTGGGTTCAAATTCTTTGTCTAGATAACTTCTGGGGGCCCTTTTAGATCCAAACCTGTGATCCTCTGATCCTTTCTGTTTGCATTAAAACACAACTTTTTCTCACTAAACCTTTAGAAAGTCTTCTTGTTCCAGCAGATGACAAGCCCCTCCTCATTTGTTAGTGAATAGCTAAGAGAAGGTGTTGGGGAGTGTTTGAGCTGTCCTGAGGCAGTCACCTCTCAGTGAAGAGGAGTGCACAAGTGTTAGCAGTATCGCAGTTTAGGGTACATTATGCCAGCAAGGTCAGACTTAAGGAGATGATAAATGTGAGCATCATACACTTACAGAAATCTCAGTGGGTGTTGCTTTTATTAATTAATTTTTTTTTTTTGGTTTGGATTGGTCATGAGATTTTCTTGGTCAACAAAAATTTACTTGGTTTTTTGGCTTCTTTCATTGTCTTGAGAACTAGGCACTTAATATCCTCCAGAGATTAAGCTGACATATGTTTACTCATTTCTAATCCCTAAAACTTTATTTCCTTTAAAAAAATTATTTTCTAGTTACTGAAAGCGTGGGGTGCCCACGTGACAGCAGTTTGTTCTGGGGATGCCACTGACCTGGTCAAGAAGCTTGGAGCAGATGATGTAATTGATTACAGATCTGGAAATGTGGAAGAACAGTTGAAATCCTTGAAACTGTATGTATGGACACAATTTCACACTGGGGAGATGGGAGATGAGGCATTGGGCAGACAGCATGGGTGTCCTGTGTCTGGGATGACTCGGTATCCAAGTATCATTCTGGTCTGTAGTTATAGCTTTAGAGAGATGTCTCTATAAAGAAATTCCCTTTTATCATTAGAAGTCAGTCTAACTTGTTTGCTGGTTTTACTGTTTTTAATGCAACCTGTGATTTCTATGCAATTACTGGTGATATTTGACTTGCCTCATGTTTTTCAGTCATCCTTTCCAAAATCATTACACTGTGACTAGTTTTTGAGAAGAGGGTGCATGAGATTGGCTCTGAATTCTGTTCTTTGACTTCCATCCCCATAGGACCTGGATACTCTAAGAAGCAGTGTCATTTATATAATACATGGTCAACGGCATACCCCCTGTTCTTTTCTTGCGTCCAGCAGGGAGGCTCAGTAGATAGAGGGCTAGGCCTAGAATCAGGAATACCTGCGTGCTAATCCAGCTTTAGACATTCATTAGCTATGTGACCCGGGGAAAGTCATTTAACCTTTCTGTGCCTCAGTATCCTCAGCTGTAAAATGGGCATAATAGCACCTGCTTTGCAGGGTGGTGGTGAGGATCAAAGGAGGTGATATTTGTAAAGCCCTTAGCACAGTGCCTGGCACGTAATAAGTGCTTACTAAATGCATATTTCCCTCCTTCCCTCCTTCCCTCCTCTCTAGTGTTTTGACATAATAAGGCCACAACAGAAACAAAAAGAGCATCAGTGTTTAAATGGCAACATGGAGAGCTGCCAGGGTTCTGTGCTTGCCTCCATTCAAGTCCTGTGTGTTTGCTTGATGTTTACCAAGCAAATGCCAGATGTAGAGCTAGATACAACCCCTCCCCACTCAGCTGCAGGGCCCTGGAGAAGCACTTTGTGTGAATGTTGTGAGGTCAGCGGCTTCCCGAGGTGAGAGACTTAAGCAGAGGTGATGGATCGAGCAGTTCCAGAGTTTGTGTTACCAAGGGGTTCGAAGGGTTTTCTTTTTCTAAGTTCTGCTCTTGGGACAAAGACACCAACTGTCATTGCACTTAAAATGAGAAAATAAACACGAGAATCTTTGTACTCTTGGCTTGCCTGTGCCAGATCACAGATATTTATTATTATTTTTGTAGTTCATGTTTCTATAATGCTTTAAGGCTCACATGTTGCTTTCTTCACAGCAATTCTTGGAGGGATGTAGTACAGTTATGATAAATAGACATAAGGTTTTCAAAGTGCTTTACATAACCCATGTCGTTGGAGTCTCATAACAATTCCTGTAGGTACTGTTGTTACTATCAACCCCATTTTGAGGTTGTGGAAACCAAGGCTCAGAAAGGTTGAGTTCCTTGCCTGTGGTCACAGAGCTATTAAATATTGATGGTGGAATTTGAGGCCAACTCTTCCCGTTCCAAGTCCAGCACACTGTCCATGATCCCACTCTGCCTTTCCCAAGGATGCCGAGCCAATAGAAATGTGTAGTGCAGTCTCTTAATTACCGCCATAGGCTGCTTCAGCTGGTTAGTTGTGGACCTCACTTGTCAAGGTTTTGGAGAGCCAGACTAGCCAAGGATCTGTGCTGCTGGTCTGAAGCATTGCCACCAGTTCTGGTGGTCCTTAGAAATGGGGAGGAATGAATGCACAAGCAAAGCATTTATTAAGTTCAATTGCTTTTCAGTCATGTCCAGCTCTTTGTGACTCCAGTCGGGGTTTTCTTGGCAAAGATGTTACCATTTCCAGAGATAGGCTTTGTCCTTCTCCAGGTCATTTTACAGATGAGGAAATGGAAGCTAAGTGACTTGCCCAGGGTCACACAACCAGTAAGTGTCTGAGGCCAGATTTGAACTTGAGATGAGTCTTCCTGACTCCAGGTCCAGCACTCCGTGCACTATGGCGCCACCTAGCTGCCCTTATTAAGGGCTTACTATGTACAAATTCCTGCACGAAGCCCTGGGGATGCAGATAGAAAAGTAAGATAGGCCTTGCTCTCCAGGAGCTCACATTCTAAGGGGGAAACAACAGATGGGGAAAGTCTCAGCTGCCAGTCAGATGGAAAGTCCCTGGGCCTTAGATTTCAGGGGCAAAACAGATGTTACTGCATTGTTATAATGTCATTTGAGCTGATAAAATGTTCCTAAGAATGACTGAGCCCACAATCTTAGAGGACAGAGGAAAGAGCCTGTGTCAGCACTGCTCCCTTTGAAGCCCATGCCATGGAGGCCTCTGTTCCTGATATCCCTCAGCCGTACGGCAGGACCCAGGAATGCCAAGCCGGTCCCCAGGGGTGTGAGTCTGTGAAAGCAGTGGTAGCCCCTGGTTGGTCCATTGGGCTCTTACATAGTGATAAGACTGAGCTGCCCATTCTCATGGCCACTCCTCTATTGGGACCCTTGGGAAAGCAGCTTTGGAATAAGACCAGTATGACTGCCCCAGGCTGATAGCCTGTCTGCTTTGTATTTGATACATGACTATAGACACAAATTATTTTTCAAGAGAATGAAATAACTTCCAGATAGTATTTCCTTTTAAGAAATTAGCAACTCCTTCCCCAGTCCTGGTCACTTTAGTCTAACTAAACTGCAATCCACAAGACTTGATATTCAGTAACCTTTGTTTGCCACTTTTTATACTGTCCCCATACAGTGACTTAAACTGTTGTGCAGAATCAGTAATAGGTTTCAAGAGTTCCACTATCTGACTTTATCATTTGATGAAACTAGGAAGGGAAAACGATTTATGAAAAAAAGCAATTTTTGTCTTTTTTTTCTTTTTAACCAGCAAGCATGCCAATCTGCTGGTAGACATCTTTTGAAGTCTGCTGCAGAAGAATACTGACTTGAAGTCAAAGAACAGGGTTTTAATCCTGTTTCTACCACTTATTACTTGTGTGACTTTGCTCAAGTCATTTAACTTCCTTGGACCTCAGTTTCCTCATCTATAAAATGAGGGGAGGGGAGGATGGACTGGTGGATCATTCCAGCTCTAAACCTGTGCTCTTATAATCCTTGTAGCTGTATGAAATGATCATGTGATCTTCCCTTTTGTACAGTGAAATGGTTAGGGCCATATGTATTGGATGCACACCAGGCTCCTTGAATGGATTTGTGTGCCTTGATATATCATGGGATCATAGATATAAAACTGGAAGGGCCTTTAGAGATCATTTAGTTCAGCTTTATAGATGAAGAAACTGAGGCCCAGAGAAGTGAAGGGACTTTTTCCTTCACGTGATAGCAGATAGCAGAATTGGGATTCAGACTCAGATCTTTTGGGTCTAGACCCAGTATTTTTTTCTAACTCAGTGATGAAGAACTGATCTATGGACCATATGTAACTCTTGATTTCATTTAGAAACCATATTCCTAGTTGGATGAAATTAGGACAGCATGGTCTGGTGGAAAGTGCACTAGCTTTGGAGCAGAGGACTTGGGTTCAAATCCTATATTGGATGTTTGTTACCTGAGTGACCTTGGGCAAGATCCAAGGGCCTTGGGCCTCAGTTTCCTTATCTGTAAAAATTGTGCTATTTTAACTAAGCTTCCAAGGCTTCTTCGAGTTATAAATCTATGATCTTAAGTATCTGTAGCCTACTTCAGAACCTCTACTGTTAATATTTAAAAAAAAAAACCCAAACCCAGGAACAGCATGCAAAGCATTGAAAACATCCTTGATCCAGGAATTCACTGTTAGATGGTATTCTCTAAGTTCTATGATAATGATATTTGGTGATTCTTTGGGGAATGTGAAGCATCTCAGTTATTGTGCAGTGGTACTTGGATTCACCAGTGATGTTTTACATGAAGCCAGACAAGTACCCAATGTAAGGAAATTTAGGAAGTCAAATTTTATAAGCAGATCCTAAGAGGGAAGACAATGGTTAGATGTCCTTTGAGAATGAAAATCTTTTTTGTGTATATTAGAAAGTATATATTAGAAAGTGACTTGAGTTTCATGTGCGGATGGCGGCACCCCTGGTTATTTCCAGTCCTTAAATGTATTAGAAATGAAATAACACAGTGGGTCACATTTGACCTATTCTTGAATGTTCTACACTTGGGGGAAAAAAGCAAGAAGTCCCAGCACATAAATAAATCTCTCTCACTTAAAGTGAACACACAGTAGAGATTGGATATCAGAGCTACATTCAGCAAATTTATCTGTTAATTGTCACTGAAGTATATGTGGCAAAACCCATCACGTAGTTTTCTACTCCTTGGTTATAGAAATGTTACTGTACACTCAGCTGCTTCTTAGCCCCACCATTCAGAATGAAGGTTTACCAGACTTTCTTGTTTTTCTCCTTTCTAGGTTTGACTTTGTCCTAGATAATGTTGGTGGAGGCACTGAAGATTGGGCTCCAAAATATCTCAAGAAATGGTCAGGTGCCACATATGTGACACTGGTCACTCCTTTTCTGCTGAATATAGACCAGCTCGGAATAGCAGATGGCATGGTACAAACAGGATTTACCGTGGGCTCTAAGGCACTGAAGGTAGGAAGAAAATGCTTTGCAGACTTGAGAAGTATCTGATGCTGAGTTTGTAACTTCCCAAAGCTCAACCAAAACTTCTTTATGTCTTTGCCCCCTCTAGGTTATAAGCTCTTCTTTCTCCTTTGCCTTTACTATAAAATCTTCTGCCCTCTTCCCTATGCAGAACACATACTATCCCTTTAGCATGAGTGTGAAGGAACTGGCCCACTGTCTGTAGGGCCAGTCTATACTTTGCCTTGTTTTCTCTGTCCTGAGCATATGTGCTGATGCATCCACATTCTCTTGACTAGGCTCCCTGCCAACAGCAAAACCTATTCTGAGATGGTAGAAAAAAACAAAAATGCCTCTTCTCTCTGGAAGCTTACTGGATTCCCAAGAGACTTGAATTCATGACTCTAGTCTCCTCAGCAAAATGCTTAAACCAATCAAGCCAACTAGTGATAAGCACCTTTGACATAGAAGAAATAGAGAAAGACAAAAAAGAAGAGTCTTCTGCTCACATGAAGCGCACATAGGTATTGGCAACTGAAAAACCTGAGAGATTCTTTATTTTCCCCCAATTCATTTACCTGCCCATGAACAGTACATACCACCTAGCCCTACCTGGAAGATATTTGTGTGTATGTGGAAGAGGGATCTTACTTCTCCTTTGTCTCTTCTGTCTCTATACTTTTACAAAGCTCAGAAGTTCTTAAAGGTGCTTAAATCAGAATGTAAATTTTCTGTACAGTTTCACTGTTGATCACCTGGCCTGGCCTCTTGCCATGCCCACCTTCCGAGCATTCTACTGAGAGCCAAACAAATACTGCTTTCTTTAACTTGTTTTTTCCTCCCCCTTATTTGAAAGCCAATAGCAGTAATCTCTCACCAGGGAAATGCTTTTAAGTAGTTTCTTATGTCATCTTGAAAATACATACAGTTAAAACTTCATTGTAATGCCCCAGGACTCCCCTGATTCCACCAGTTTGCTGGCTCACTCTCTCCCTCCCCTATAACTATAGAAGGAGAAAAAGGGAAAAGAGTCCTTGCAAGCATTTGGAAAATGTATTAAAGGAGTTCTGCTATTTTTTAGATCAGAGTTTCACTTTGCCAGGGTAATGTGCATTAAGGAATTACCAAAACACATGGCAGAGTGACATAATACCTCTTCTCTCAGTTGATTTCCAAGGGAGTTTAGAAAAAAATCAAACCTCCATTTCTAAGGGCAGTCTTAGAGGTGTATTTGCTCATAGAATTTCAAATATGGAAGGGAACTTAGAACTTGTGTCTGGACAGAAGCTCCTTTTGTAACAATCCCAGCAAATGTCACTTAGCCTCTCTGCTCAAGTACTTCTGGGAACCCACTTTCTCTTTGAGGAGAATTTTTTTTTCCCGTCAGTGGCAAAGTTTATTGTCATTACAACAATAAACAATTCAATAGAAAGAAGCTGGCAGGGTTCCTAGTGAACATGCAGTTTAATAGGGGTGAAACTGATGCTTATATACAAAAAGGACAGTTAACTGGATCGGATGGTATTAAGGAGTGGTAAATAGTCTGGGATGGGCCACATGCTAAGGTGGAAGGACATCAGGTAGGCTAATTAGGTGATCTAGGTGGGATTAAAGAGTGGTCAGTATATGCAGGTAGTCTGGGGTGGGACAAGAGCAGCAGGGAAAGGAAAGTCAAATAAGCTAATCAGGTGATCTAGGTGGTCTGGGGTGGGCCAGTTGCCTTGGGTGAAGGTGCCAGTGATCAGGGCTGCTGGAAAATTCAGCAACTGGGTGGGTTGCTTTCAAAGCCACGGTCTTTTCTGTTTAGACGTCTGGGGCTCATTACCCCATCATTCCCCCTCAAACAAATGGGACCCAAAATCTTTGGGGGAAAGGGGCAAAGGTCTCAGCTTCTGAAACTGCTTCCTGCTGGCAAGGAGCTTAGCTCTCCTTGCCTCGTGGGGGTCCCAAAGAAGAGGTTGACTAGAACCGAGCACAGGCTGCATCCACGGGATGATGGGGGGACATGGGCTGGTACCCTTTGTTTTCTACCAACTGTAGGTGAATGGCCTGTAGTCTGGAAGGTGAGAATTTTTTTTCCTTGAGGCTTAATCTGCTTTCTGCAGCTTTTATCCACTCTTCCTATTTCTGCCCTTCAGGAAGAAACAATATAAGTTTAACCCCTCTTCTATGTAACAGCCCTTCAGATACTTGAAGAGACTTATTGCTACACCACCTCCCCAAAGTCATCTTTTTTTTCCAGGTTAAATATTCCGAGTTCCATTACCTGTTTCTCAGTCTTCCACTTTTCTCACCCTCTTGGTTGTATTCATCTGCATGTAGTCCATCTTGTCTTTGTCCTTCCCAAAATGTGCTCAGAACTGAACATTATGAATGAATTAATGAGCAAATGTAAAAATGAAAAAAAAGTTTAGAATGCACTTTCTGTGTGTAAGTTTCTATATGTAACTTACACATAGAAGTTACACATCATGTACACAATGTGTATCAGACATTGTGCTAAGCCTGGGACAGGACATAAATACAAGCAATCAGGGCTGTCCCTGCCCCCAGAGAGCTTGCAATCTAACAGGAACACGAAACGTATATGGCAGTGGTGATCGGTAAGTGTTGATTTGGAGAGAGAAGTCAGAGAGCATGGTGATTAGAGTAATAAGGCATTTCATTGAGATGCCCTTGCCAAGATTGGTAGTACTGATTTGATGAGTGTTCTCAGGACTCTAATTGGAAAGTAGGGCAAAGAAGAGTACATACATGTAACATGGCACGGAGATGCCTGGAAAGTGGTGTGGTGGCCTGAGACTGGGCATCTGAAATGCTTACCAATCAGAAGATAACTTCAGTTCTTTATAGGTCTGGACTGAAGTTGGAGGAGGCATAGCATGGCCATGGGAAGTGTGTGTCCCAGTATATTCCAGATACAGTCTGACAAGGGCAGAGTACAGCAGAATCACCATCTGCCCCATTTTGAACACAGAATCAAGATGGCAGCTAATAGGATGTCACATTGTTGACTCATTGAACTTGTAGTGTACTAAAGCCACCATGTCTTTTCCACATGAATTATTGTTTAACTGTGTCTCCTAAATCTGGTACTATTGAAATGAATTTTTTGAACTCAGGTATAGTATTTCACATTTATCCCTGTTAAATTTCATCTGTTTTGATTTGGCCAGTCATTCTAGCTAGCTTTTATCTTTTCAGATCCTTGATTCTGCTATTCACTGTATGAGTTGACCTTCCTAGCTTAGGTCATTTGCGAATTTAATAAGCTTGCTATCTGTACCTTTGTCTAGGTCATTGATAAAAATGTTGACCCAAATGAGAATGAGGACAGATGTTTAGGTCACTCCACTAGAGGCTCCCTTCCAAGTTGACAGCCACCTATTAATTGTTCAGCCAATTCTGAAAGTACTTAACTGTACTTTGATTGAGCCTACATTTCACCATCTTAGCTGTAGCAGTAATTTGAGAGATATTGGCAAATGTTTTAAATCCAGACCTACCATCTCAATGGCATTCCTCTTATCTACTGACCTTTTCAGAAAAGGAAATGAGATTTGTCTGGGTTGTTTCCTGAATTCCTCTTTTAATTCCTTCTTTTTCTAGGTCATTTGTAATTGAGAACTTCTGCCATATCACCTTCCTCTGTTGTTGTTATTCCATCAATCCAAGCAAAAAGCAAAAACATTGCTTTTTACTCCTGCCATACATCCTCAGTCATGTTCTAGTCAACATGCTTCCCCTCTCTAGATCCTGAATTCCTTATGTAAATACAGCTTCTTAATCAATAATACCATTCCCTTTATCTGTTCAGTTCCTTTTGAATAAAATATGTACTATTTCATAGTCATATTTTGGTTATTAATTCCAATCCCTAAGTCTGAGTGATACCTGTTAAGTCAATTTTGTCTCCTTGTATTGAGATCACAAGTAAACCTTGTTTATTGTCTATAATTTTGCAAACACACATTGTGTGAGACAGAGGGCATTGTGGTACAATGGGAGGAAAATTGGGTTGGAACTAGGAAGGTTAGATTTAAGTCTCACCTCTGACACCTACTGGCTATGTAACCAAGTCACTTGACTCGGGTCTGCGATTTTTTTCCCCACACCTTTGGTATCTTCCCCTCCTTCGGATATCCTTGATATGTACCTGGTCCAGTCTGTTGCCTTTTACATCTTTATTCTCTTTAGTACCAATTCTATTTCCTCTATAAACATGTCATTATGTTAGGGTCCAAGTGTGATGGTTCTACCACCCTTTATGGAAAATAGGGTTTGTTAAAATAGTTTTCAGAAATCTTTTCTGTTTTTGTGTTTGTAGTTCTTCTCATTTTTGTCTTTTGCTGTCCTTGGGGGTGATTTTGTTTAGTTGAGTAGCTTGTATAGCTTTCTTTAAACTGGTTTTCTCTCTTGGTTCACTCTGCTCTTTGAGATAATAACTGCTTCTGAATTGTCCATCATCCTTTTTCATAAGGTTTTACAAACAAATTTATATTCTGACCTGGTGTTGACTTTGGCAACCAATTCTGTCAAGTAAGTCAGTTGTTTGCTGATGAAGATGCTTTCTGGGCTCTTTGAGACTCCCTGTACTGGCAGTTAATTCACATTACTTAAATTATTGGGTAAAATTATTATAGTTGATGTTTATGTTATTTATGATATGTTTTCCATTTTAAAAGTTACAGTGTTTTGTTAAAGTAATTCAGGGTTATGTCATTTCAAATGTTCAATTTAAACAATTTTTTTTTTTTTACTAATTCTGATTTTAGCTCTGAGAAGTTGATTGTATACAATTGTGCTTTGTACATAGTAGGCAATAAATGAATGTTGATTTGAGGAAAGCCTTTATAGCTATTTAGGTATAATACTTTCCTCCCATAGACATTTCTTAGCCTGTTATTGATTTAAGGTAGGAGAAGCCATTGCCCCTGCCACTCTGACACTATTAGTTCTTATCAACTTGAGTTAAGGTTTTTGTGATGAAAATTCCTCCCTCCTAAGAATGGTAATGAGACTCTACTTTCCCTGCTATTCTTATCTTGGAAATACTTTTTTTTTTAAAATGTAGATTGAGGGCTAAATTCAAACCTGTGACCTAGAAATTCTCACTGATAATAATACACAAAACCTGTGCATAGAATTAATCAATCAAAAGCATTTACTAAATGCCAGGCACTGGGGATGAAAGGACAGAAAATGAACTAGATCCTGCCCTAAAGATGCTTCCAGTCCATCAGGGAAACAACATTTACACATAGAAGTGTAGACAAAGTAAATACAAGGTAATTTGAGTGGGGTGGCCACTGCAGGGAATAAGGAATGGCTTCACATATAGCAAGTGGCATTTGAACTGAGTTTTGAAGTCAACTAGGGATTCTAAGAGATAGAGTAAGGTGGGGGTTGGGAGGGGGATTAGAAGGGTGACAAAGGCACAGAGATGGGAGGTAGAATGTTGTGTGAGGAAGACAAAGGCTGGGTAGATGCTTGTTGACTGGTAGTTTTTCTGAACCACAGAGTCTGTGAAGGAAGGTGATGTATTTTTAATAAATCTGGAAAGCTAGGTTGGAGCCAAGTTGTAAAGGACTTTAAATGCCAAACAGGAGAGTTTATATTTGGTCCCAGATATAATAGGCAGTCACTAGAGTTTATTACCAGGAGAGTGACAGGATTAGCCCTATAATTTAGTAATATTTTTTTGGCACGTCTCAGAAGGATGGGTTAGAGAGAGGAGAGACTGAATGCGGGGAGATCAGCTAGGAGGCTCATAAAGTAGTCCAGGTGAGGGGCAGTAAGGGCCAGAAGTAAGATGGTGGCTACGTCACTGAAGAGGAAGTGATGAACATGAGAGATCTGAAGATACAATTGACAAGATTTGACAGCTAGTTAAATAGGTAGTTAGGTGATGCAGTGGATAGAGTCCTCGGCCTGGAGTCAGGAGGACCTGAGTTTAAATCCAGCCTCAAAATACTAATATCCGAATGACTTTGGGCAAGTTGCTTAACTTTTATTGGTGTCAGTTTCCTCAGCTGTAAAATGGGGATAATAATAGTATCTACCTCCCAGGGTTGTTTTGAGGATCAAATGTGATAATATTCATAAAGTGCTTAGCACAGTGCTTGGTAAATAGTAGGTGCCATGTAAATGCTAGCTGTGAAGATGGTGATGATGATGATGATGATGATGATGATGTGAGGTTAGTGAAAGTGAGAAGTCAAGAATAACTGTGAGGTTGCAAACCTGGAAGACCAGAAGAATGATAGTACCCTCAACAGAAACAGGGAAGTGGGAAAGATAATGAGATCTGTTTTGGACATGTTGATTTTGAGATGCCTACAGGATATCCTTGGAGAAATTACCATTTCCCAATTAAACAATACACAGTGATGTGAGACTGGAACTCAGGAGAGAGACTAGGGCTGAATATATAGCTTTGGGACTCATCTCTATGAAGATATTTAAACTAATGGGAGCAAATGAATTCACTGAGAGAGCTTTGGGATTCATCTCTATGAAGATATTTAAACTAGTGGGAGCAAATGAATTCACCGAGAGAGTATATATATATAATTTGAGCCACTTGCAACAACCCTGGGAGGTATATGCTATTATTATCCCCATTTTACAGGTGAGAAAACTGAGGCACAGAGAGGTTAGGTGACTTGCCCAGAGTCACACAGCTACTAAGTGTCTGAGGCTACATTTGAATTCAGGTCTTCCTGAAATTAGGCCCAGAACAGGTAAAAGAAGAACCACGGGAGAGCACTATCACAAAAACACAGGAGAGAATATCCAGGTTGAAAGTGTTCAACAGTGTCAAAGCTGCAGAGGTCAAGAAGCATGAAAACTGAAAAGTTAATGAAAAGTTAATGAAATTTGGCAATTAAGAGATTATTGATAACTGCTGATAGTATATGTCATTATAGGAATAAACTTCATGCATTCACTTACTCTTTTTCTTGAATTGAAGATGTAGTAAAGGATCCTGTGTGATTAAATACCAGTTTGAATGGGTTGTTGGTTTTGTATATTCAGGGCTTGCTTTATTAGCACCTAGCAACTATTTTTCCCATGTTTTCTCCTCAAAATGCATTTTCAGTCATTCTGAAATCTTTTCCTGTACTTGACATTTCTTTGTTTTATTTTTCTTAGCATTTTTGTCAAGGAGTCCATTATCGATGGGCCTTTTTCGTGCCCAGTGGTGTGTATTTGGATGACATTGCAGAACTGGTGGAAGCAGGAAAGGTATGTGAGACCTCCTCCCCACCTTCCTCCCCCATCAATGTCGCTCATGTGCCTCTTGTTGCTGTAACTAATCACTTGTGTTGGAAATGTGAAAACTTCCCAGGACCTCATAGATACCATCAAGAGCTATAGCTTGGGTGATTAACTTCCTGCCTTCCCTAACTACTACTTTCCCCCATACTCTCCTCCCTCCCCCCCACCCCCCCCCCAAAAAAAAAGAAAAGAAAGAAAGCATTTAAATTTAGGGGTCTTTGGTCTTGCCAGGGCCAAAGTAGAATCAGAATCTGAGTTGAAATGGACCTTGGAGATTATCTAATTCAAGTCCATTTTGTAAATGAGGAAACTGAGGGCTGGAGAGGTGAAATGGTCAGACAGTTCACTAGTGGCAAAGCCCAGAGAAGAACTCAGATATCCCAGTGCCCTGAATAGTATTGTAGCATTCTTTTCATTTCACTTCATGCTTCATTTTCATGCTTTTGACCTCTGCTGCTTTGACACTGTTGAACCCTTTCAACCTGGATAGTCTCTCCTGTGTTTTTGTGATAGTACTCTCCTTTGGTTCTTCTCTTACCTGTTTTGGGCCTAATTTCAGGAAGGCGTGAGTTCAAATATAGCCTCAGACACTTAAAAACTGTGTGACCTTGGGCAAATCATTCCAGTAAGTAGAATATAATTATAAATATAGGGGTTTGTCTGACAGGAAGATGGGAATCAGGAGACTAAGGGAGTTGATGTGTGACTCTGAGAGAGGGAATTTGGGTGTAGTAAAATGGCATACAGGTTTATCTGTCTACAGGAAGCTCTGCAGGAAAGGGAAGAGGCTGAGAGTCTTGAGGTGGGGTCTTCAGAGGAGGAGTTCCTCCTGATTCTCCAGATAGTGACAGTAGAAGGCAGTACCTAAGGCAGCCGCCATGGAATTGGGGATGTGGTGAGTAAAATTCAGCAAAGGTAGACTGAGGCTCATTCTCTCCAAGAAAGATAATATTTTTTTAACAGGGCACGAATATGCCAATAAGAAATGGGTCAATGACTGCTTAAATTTTAAGCCAAAGACCCGAAGTTGAAGACTTAACTAATTTTTAAAAGTTTAGAACGAAGAACACAACAGGCTGGATGACATCATGGGGTTGAGGACAACATGATTGGTTGTGTAGCTGAAGCGTGACAGGGACAATGTGATAGGTTAGAATCTGGGAATGAGGGTTAACCACAGCCTCCCTCCTTCCTTCCTGTGATTAAGAAGTATTCATTGTTTGAGCCTACCTGCAAGGTTAAAAGATAGTGGGCTGGACTTCTTTGGATAGCAAACTAGACATCCTTGAAAGATAGTTTGGTGGTGTAAAGATGTTAGACTGGACTTCCTAATGTTCACCTGCATCCCCCAAGGGTAGCAGAATTCCTTGAGGCAAGAATAGAACAGTGATTAGCAAGAGAACTGGGTATCTCAGTTTAACTCATTACAGACAAGCTGAATTTCTGAACTAAATTCAGAGACAAAGAATCATGACTTAGGCAAAATCAATTAATTGTAAATAGTATCAATAAAAAATTATACAGAATCCAATTTAATCTTCTCAGGGGAAAGATCAGTCTGGGACCTGTACTACAGCATTCTTCAATTACAAGTTTTCATGTTGAAGATCCTTTCTTACTGCCTCAGGATTAAAAGCAGTGTTTCTGTCTGTGTTTTCTTAATATCTCTTGCCTACTTGACTATTTTCCTTGGAGGAGATGATGGCTCTGGCAGTATAGGCCCATGGAATAGCTGGTGAAGCTATGTGACCTTGATTGATTTCTCTATCTTATGAATTATTATCAGATTTAATTGAAAGACTCCTGGAGAGTGAAATTCTCCTTTTTTGAAACGAAGGCATCTGAAATGGCCTTTTGATTAACACTGAAATATCTCTCATATTTATTCTCTCCTCTCTATAACTACCACTCCTCTAATGCAGGTGCTCATTACCATGTTCCTATACTCTTGCTCTAGCCTCCTAATACACCCTCTGCCTACATTTTCTCTCTGCTCTGCCACAGCTTGAGTTATCTAATTTATGAATAGATCTGTTCATGTCACTTCTCTCTTCAGAAAATCTCCGGTGTCCTTGTTGCCTACTTGGCTAAGTTTAGGCTCCTTTCCCTGGCATTCCAGTACCTTCACAACCTGGAACCATTCTAGCTTCTCAACTTTATCTCATATTGTTTTCTATTATATACTCTAAGCTCTAACAAACAGGATTACCCTTTGTCCCAAGGATGTGACCTGTTCTTTCCTGCCTCTGTTCCTTGGACCACATTGTTCTGTATGTCTGGAATGTCATCTCTTCCTCTCTAGGCCTTTATGACCCAACTCAAGTGTCATGTTCTCCAGGAAGTTTTTTCCTGATCTCTCCATTTTTTAATAACCTTTTCTTCTCTCCCCCTCCCCCCCCAACTTCACCTAGCGCTTTGTTTTACACTTTTCATTGCATTTATGAATTATCTTGCATGATAATTATCTGAGTATGTATACTATTCTCCTACTAGACTTTAAATTCAGTAAGAGCATTAATAATGTTTTATCTAATTTTCATATCTCCCCCAGCATCCAGCACAGTGCTCTTCACACAGTAAATAAGCATTCTGGTTTAACTAAATGTTATCAGGTAGTGGCAGTGGTGTCAATGACAAGAAAAACTTTTGAGATGAATTAATGTTTTCTTCTTACTTACTTGGAAATCTAGAGCCCATTGATTGCTTGGATTGTGACATTTTTACCAAAATGTTTACTATGATACTTGAGCAGTAGTAGCAGCTGCCAACTACATAGTATTATCTCACTCTTGTCTTGGATGTCTACAAAATGACTAAAGCTTCCTCCTTTGTAGAGTAGACACCAGAACATGAACAGACGTCTTCACAGACCTTTCTTTCATTCATTATAGCTTACTTAAGCCTGAACATCACTAGTTTGGGTAGCCAAAAGCTATTCTTCTAGATAGATTTTAAAGCTATTGTTTTGCTTTTATATCATGTACATTTCCCAAAGTATCCATTCCCTTTCCTCATCCCAGAAAGCCTTATAACAGAGAATAAAAAATAAAGGGTAAAAAAATAGTTTAGTAAAGCTAACCAACATATTGTAAAAGTGTGGTGTTATATAGGCCACTCCCCCAATTCCTAAACTCTACAAAGAAGCAGGGCAGGTGCACTTTCTCATATCTCTTTGATGCCAGGCTTGATCATTTTATTATCACATTATTCCATTTCAGTTGCTTTGTTGTTTTTATTCCATTTACACTGTAACCATTGTGTCTGATTTTTTCTTACTTTTGATTACTTTATTTTGAATCAGTTCAGAGAAGTCTTCATAATCTTTCTTGCAGCATAATAATATTCCATTACATTTATGTACCCAAAAAAACCCCAAAAAACCCTGCTGCTACCAATATTTTGGTGTAAAAGTATTGACCTTGGGATAGATTGCCTAGAAGTACACCAAAAGCCATTTTTATGGCTGCTCTGAGTTTCAAAAAATCATTGTTACTTGCTTCTTAACCCTCTTACATGGTTCTTGAGGCATCAACCAGAAATACTAATCTGAACTACATTTAAGCAGGTCAGATATATAAATAAATGCCTAGATATGACACCTCTGTATAAACAACAAAGAACCACCATGAATTTTAAGATCTGGTGACATACTGTATCTGGAGGGTTAACTTTAAAATCTTTTCTGTGGACTTTTCCTTTTACTAGATAGTTTACCTCTTCATATGAATTATGGGCAGTGGGAAAGAGACCCAGTATGGAAAATCCAAAGCCACTTTAAAGATTTGTATGTGATAGGCAATCAGGGACACTCGCTCCTTGCATTGATTGGCACCACATTTCATTCTTGCGTTTAGGCTTTGGAAAGAGGTAGCTTTAGGAAACCACAGCTAAAAGCTGTGCATTTAACCTTACTTCATTCAAGCTAAGGAACTACAGAGTGAAAGATGGTTTATTCCTGTTTCCAAATAGTTTGGCTTGCTTTCCAAGTCTAAGTGCCTTTTTCAAAATATTTGCGAAGTCTGTATGTGCAGGATGAAAACACGTATATGGATTCAGTCTCATGACTATGTGAGGATTCTGTCCCAGGATTCAACATTAACTCTGCTTCTGTTGCACTCTATTTAGTCTCCCAGAGGAACTATATTCTTACTTTGGTTTGAGTGTAGTTATTGTGGAGCTCCACTGCTTACATCATTAGAATTAAATGAGGGAGTTGAATTGGATGATATTTTAAGATCCCTTCGAGTTCTAAAATTCTGTGACTTTACATAGCCAGAGTACTGTGTTCCCCAACTCATTTCAGGTTTGTCTTGATTCCTGCCAAGTATTCAGATCATAATATGCTTACATGTCTACTCCTTTGTACTCAAAATATAATTGGCTTTTCTCTACCTCAAATCATTGTTTGTACAACAAAAAAGAAAATTGACTTCTCTCTATTTACCCATCAATTTTGGCAGGAGATTGATAGAATGGCTGAAAGGAGACAATGATGGAAGTAAAAACTGTACTAATGTACCATCTTTTAGAGGAAAGCTACAGGAAGTAGACATCTTTGATCCTGTATTCTCCATTTAAAAAAAAAAGGTATTCTCACAAGGTTGTTTTGGCTTTTGACTTACCTACTGCCTTAGCAGCATCTCATTTATGCCTGTGCAAGGCTATGAAAGTTGATATGAGAAACCAGATGCCACATTGAGGTGTGCTTCAATATCTGGTTGTACCATTGTTACTCATCTGGTAAGGCTATTTAGTCTGTGATAAGCGGTTATTGTTTTCTTAGTCATTTAATTTGGGAAAGAGACAAAAGTACAAAGACAGGTTTTGTATGGTAAAAGTAAAGGTTGTGTGCTTGCTTCGGCAGCACATATACTAAAATTAGGATGATACAGAGAAGATTAGCATGGCCCCTGCACAAAGATAACACGCAAATTTATGAAGTGTTCCATATTTTTAATGTAGAGCCT